CTTGAAGCGTTTCATGCGTGAAGACGGCGCTGAAACAATTATGTATTATGTATTATCGTCATGCTTACTTTTTTGAAGAACTAGCTTCTGCCCGCGACTTCGTACGCGCAATCCCGTTTTCTCCCGTTTCCGTAGGATTTTTAGAAATTTTTTCTGTCATAAGTACCTTCTCCTGACAATAACAAATTCAACAAAAAAAAAAATGAGCCAAATCGGTCCAGCCGTTCCCAAGTTATGGCGTGACAACGGGAAACGGGTTTCATTTTTATATGTATAACATATACTAGCGACCCGCCCCTGCTTCGCACGGGTACAATTAGAAACCTCTAAATTTATTAGTGTTTCTCTACTATTTTATGCATGTATTATACATATAAACCTTCCTGAAGAATTACTCTATCTATTAAAAAAACCGCATCAAAATCCGTTGCATAGTTTTAAAGATCTAACCATACATAGGGACAGACAGACGGTGGATAGCGACTGCTCTCCTGGCCGAGTGGTTGCAGGTGCGACGGTTTTTTAATAGATAGTGTGATTCCTAAGGAAGATTTATATGTATAATAACATGCATTTGCACTCGTGCGAAGCCGGGGCGCGTCACTAGTATACATATAAAGTCAGGGTTGTGAGACAACCGCAGCACGACTTATATGAGTTGTTCTGTACAGAGAAACGAGGACAAAAGTTGGTGTCTATAATCTTACGTATAAATACGTCTAATATGGTTTCTTTCTGGGTTAGTGATTATGTATAACTGCCAAGCTTCGTATGATTTCTAAATTACAGGGATGTGTAGCAATAGGCTCATTTCCTTATGCTTTTCCTAATTATATACGACTAGCTTTTACCTGCGGCTTCGCTCGCGTCACAAAAGGATAAAAAGTAGCCTTTGTGACATACACCAATACACACAGCGCCATCTATACTAATACTTTTGTTTTCCCTCGGGAATATCACATTTTTCCGGGATAAAAAGTACCATATTATTTAATTCGGACTTCTAACTTTACGCCTGTAAAAATTCAAACCAATCGGCTTAGTAGTTACGGCGTGAAAGCGGAACAAACAAACAAACTAACTCACTTTACGATTTATAATATTAGTAAAACTGCCGCATAGGTGGTGACCGGTGACCTATGTTAGCGGAGGATTTGCCTTCAACAATTTTCTGTCAGCAGTCAAAAACTTAATGTAAGGTGACTCTTTCAACAGATAAATCATGTTTACTTTATAATGTGGAATAGCATTGTTTTTTCAGCAGATTTTATTTTTGACTGCACGTTTGGCGCGGTGATTAAGCAACTGGCTACCGTGCAACGTGTAGCGGATACAATTCCCGCTCAGAGCAACTCTTTGTGTGGTCCACAAATTGTTGTTTAGGGTCTAGGTGTCATGTGTATGTGAAATTGTATGTTTGTAAACGCACCCACGAAACAGGAGAAAATCTAAGTGTAGGTTTTTTTTAAAAAGAAGAAAGTTAAAAAAAACTGGGTTTCTAGGTATACGTATGTATATATTTTCACAAAATAACACATCTGCTTCTATTCTGCGTGTTAGGTCTGTCGTTGATCAAACAAATTGCAACTTTATACAATAGGTATCCAATGTATGCAAGCTAATATTGATAGTCCTTTCATTGGCAGTCGCATACGTACCCATTAATTACGTGCTTGATTGTTACCTTTGTAAAATGTGAATTATGTAGCAAGGAATATTGATTCATATCGCTTATGTATCATGAGCTAAAATAATCAAATAATTTCTCCCAACCTGTGTAAGGTAAGAGAGGGTCTGACTCTTACAGACTGAAAACCACAAAGCAGGAATAGAAATGTGGTGAACTGGAACTCTGTACAAAAGTGCTTGTTTAGTTATTAATTGAAAAAATATTACCTTAAGATAGCCGTGCTAGATTAAATCATAGCCTAGTCAGATGACAAATTCTAGTTAATACAGATGTTAGAATGCAATAGCAAAAAAGATAACGTAGGCTTAGGTGTTTTGTTTCTTTAACTCGTCGAATACCGGTTTTATAGACACAATTAAAGAACAATAGGTCGCGGTCACCGGTGACCGCTTGGTGTTTGACAGATTAAAGGGGTAAAATCATCGAATGACTGCTCCCGCCTGGGTTAGGCGAGAGGGAGTGTTAGAGTCTTACTGACTAAAAACCACCCCGTTTCTTCTCCTGTACGTCGAGCCGGAGCTCCGGTAACCCGATAGGTTCTCCGCGACTCCAAATCGGCATCAGCCCTGTTGGGCCTCATCCATGATGGTCTGATGGCTCTTTGAGGCGCGCGCGGAACGCCACGTGCCGTACGCTCGGGAAGCTTAGGTGTAGGTACGCTGTCGATATTAATTTAGTTAATGAAAGTCTGAGCACTACTATAAAAGTATACATATATCGTTCAATACACAAGGTCATACAGACAAACAGTTAGTTTACTTAATTATCGTAACTGACACGCGGATAACTAGGGAACGTATTATCTCTTAGATGTATTTTTATCGACTGGAAACAGTTGCTTGGGGTTAAGGATAATGTAAATAGACACTTTACACATACCGTCGTATACGTATTACTTAAACAATTGGGTAATTTCCAGGGTATCAAAATTAAAAATCTAATTAGTCCATCAGTTAGATAATGAAAAAATATTAGACAGGTATTTTTTTATTTTCGCGTATTAAGTTGATAAGATAAAATGGCGCTAAGTTTAGGAGTGGGACGCTGTGACGTCACACGATATTTCAAATTAATATATCGTCCAAAGTATTTAATTTTGTTAGAAAAGAAAAAATACGTGTCTAAAGTTTTAAATAAATGTACCAGACGGACATTAAAATAAAATTTAGGAAACTACCCTATGGCATACTGGTGTGTCTCTACAAAAACGTAATTTGTTTTCATAATACGCAGTCAAGTCAACGACCTTACCTTAATTATAATCACTGAATCAAGGCAGTAGACATAATCTAAAAAAAGAATTTAGTACAATACTATTTAGTAACTAAACTAACCCCTATTACAATACTACTAAGACACAAAATCGCTTGATTGTTTACGTCTTCGCTTCTGTCATCAAGTGTTTATCTTTGCTCAGTTCACTGGCTTTTAAGGTCGATTTACGCTAACGCAAGTACGTATAATCGAGGCCGCAAATCCAGTTATACAAACCACATTACCATGGTCCTGTTTCGTATGATCTTTCCGCATGTTTGACGGTCAGTTTATACTGGTTATTCATGGCTTGATGTGGCATATGTACCGTCCTTTATACTGGTTGTATAGTCGTGGATTTCCACCTTTATGGACGCCATTGTTGGAATCATTGAAACTACTATTTAGAATGCTGTGTAGTTACGGCAATATAGAAAATATTTACTACCACATCTTCTCTTGCCACGGGTACTTAATTCTGCCATAAGGGACTGCAAACTTAAAAATAATCCAGCTGTTAGTAGCCTCCTTGTCCAAATAAACCTGGACGTTTTATACTTCAATCTCTTATGAGCCTTCTTAACGCGTATGTAAAAAATGTTTAAATTTTATATGTTTGTTCACAGAGCATCAGATCGGTCTCCGTTTGACGGTTCCTGCTGCTCCGGCTACCGGCCTGTGGACTCCGCCAGTCTGGATACACCTGATGAAGATGAGATGGACCCGGTGAGACATTTTTAATATAACTGAAAATCAAGTTATTTATATTTAAATTTTAATTTGTAGACGGTCTACTAAAGATGTTATTAATGAATGGAGTATAGGAGGCATTTATATTAATACATAATAAATTTCATTTATAATTTTTTTATGAATATTATGTAAAGAAAGACAGTTTTTTTTTAAAATGATGTGGGTATTAAAATTGTAGCAACGCAGCACTGGGGCGCGTAGCATTACCTTCGTAGCACTTTACGCAGCGCGCGCGTAGCATAACTTTCGTAGTACGTTTCGTAGCTTTCGCTACGAAACGTAGCACTGTTGTTTTTATTCTGTAATATAAGAAAGTTTTCAAGGTTTCAATTGTATTATACTCGCAAAAGTACTAAAAAACCACATGCTTAACGTATCTAGTATAACATGACCTGTTGCAGTATATGAATAATATTTAAAAGACAGGTTTTCTTATATTGGGATGTTTATTATGATATTTGTAAAAGTAGTTAGAAGTAGATTTTAAGCATTTATTACTTATTCTGTTCGTTGTAACATTTTGGGACAAGTGGTAACATTTGTTATACTAATTAAACTTGATGTTTTGTTCTCTTCAAATAATTTACATTATATTTATTTAGTCGTGTTCGAGACGAATTAGTAGACAGATGCGCACCGTAGTATATGTATTTAAATTGAAATCACTATTACTATTAACCATATATGTACAATGTACATGTAGGTGTATCGCAATAATGAAAATTTATTAAGAATATTGTACCTTAACAAGATAAACATAAGTCATATTTTCGCATAAAAAAATAATATTCAAATAAACCATGTATTTTATCAGACTTAATAACGACATCAAACAATATAACACCATAATTCCTTATACGAACACGACGGGGATCTAATATACGTGGCTTTGAACTACATCCAAGCAAATTTCAATCTTGATCCATCGACTTAAGCGACAAAATTAATTGTCAAATGTCAGAGCACCTAATTTAAATTTATATTGAAGAAATAAGGTCTATTTTCGCTGTGTTCTGAACTTAGGAAAGATTTTTATGTAAATTTATAAGTTGTTTTTGACTTTGAACACTTGATTTGATAAAAATCTGTGAGGCCTATGTTAAATAGAAATTCTTAGCTCGATTTTTATCTAAGACATTTTGTGTCTCCTTTTCACATTTGCATTTTAATATATGAATGACAGGGACGGCTGTTTTGATGACGAGAATAATTTTTTGTGGCTTACAACTTAATACAATACTGTGCTATGAGTGAAATCACATAAACACTCTAATGGAGTGATATGATAGTGATGTCCCTACAGAAAACGGTTGGCGCGGTCGTTGGGTAAATGGCTGCCGCGCAACGTGTCGCGGGTTCGATTCCCGCATGAAACAACTCTTTGTCTGATCCACAGATTGTTGTTCCGGGTCTCGGTGTCATGTGTATGTGAACTTGTATGTTTGTAAACGCACCTACGACACCGGAGAAAGCCCTAGTGTGGGGCAATGTTTTAAAAAAAAAAACTCTGACGTTGTGTTTCGTCGTGTAATGAGGTAACTGGAGATCAAACCCACAATTCCCTCCAAAACGAAACGCACTTGAAACGCTTCTGGCCTCTATCTAGTGATGCTGATGATGATGTCCATGGGTAGTGCAGATCACGTTAATCGACACATGATCAGTCTGACACTAAGAATGTTCGACTGTATGAAATTGACACTTACTTTTGATATAATATTATGTCAAATTATATGTCAAGTTCGTACATAATGGCATTCATGCTTCGGACATCGGTGTAGGTATGCCTGCGTAGGTAGATTGAAAATTATTAGCATGTATGGGGAGTGGGGACGTTCCAGTGTACTGAACCGGTCTTCAGTTCTTTGTGGCACACGGTGTCACTAGAAAGACTTGATTTTCGATTCTGCGCCGGTCGCTTGCGTAGGCTCACTGCACAGATCTATTACCACACACATTACGGTCTACCTGCGCAGACATACCTGTACAGGTGGACCTTTCCGATGGACCGTAGTATGTATAGCAGCCATAATCTTGAGCGTTTATAGCATATCACAAGATATTTTTTTGTACAAAGTGTAGATCTTTGTACAATTTTTTATTTCATATTTCCATTGCGATACGTATCGAGTGACATTTACGAGTAAATATTTGTAAATTCATATGTAGAATATAAAAGCGCTTGTTTGTTTGTGTCGAATCGCATGAATTGATAGATGAAATGAAAGTAAAATATTTTTTGCATTTCGATATTCGATTTTAAGTGTGGGAGAGCCATGCTTCGGCACGCATTGACCGGCTGGACCGGAGTGATACCTCGACCTCATAGAAAAACGACGTGAAGCAATTATGTTTCGTCGTGAGAGACCCAATGTCAATGCAATTTCAATCCAATATAATCTCAATAATTATTCAATGTCAAAACTATACAACCCCTATCGTGTCTGTTAAATTAACATTCAGAATACGGAATATAAATCCAAACTCAATACCATCTAGTTCATTAAATATCCACGTAATACGGATGCAATGGGCGCTAGTTTTGCAACTCAAGAATATGAAATTTCCCAATGTCTTCAAGAGACAAGAATTGGGTTCAAGAGTAAGTCCCCAGATCTCTGTCAGTCTTTTAGTTAGCTTTTAAATTATATACAATAGTCCCTTAATGTCATCGCATACGTAATAATTGTTAATTATAACAAAATAATGCTCATTCGTTTGTATGTATTTATTAGTCATTACAGACGACAGTATGTGACAGCTTTATTATTGTTTGTCTATAGTATATTTTGTCTATGCTTGTCTATGGAAAATAAAAATGAAAAGTTAGTCGTTGCTGTGAATTCAAAAAACTGCGTTTTATTAATAATCATGACTAACCTCTCGCGTGTTTCTCGTACTCACGGGTGTACGAGAGAGTTGAGTGCCCATCGCGCAATTGTACACACGGGTGTACGAGAAACGCGCACCGATTGGATATTTTTTCTGTGACGTATATTTTCAAGTTTGCAACCCGTTCTTTATTTGATTGAACATTTTCATTCGCTTTTCTATTAAAATATTTACCCATGTGTACGAGTACGCGCGTTTACCCGTGTGTACGAGAGGCGTGCGAGAGGCTACGCACGACTCCGGTATATCTCCGGAACGGCATTTTTTGGTTAGGAAACAATACAAAAGGTTGTACGTAGTCGGCGCGTGGGCGGCGCGCTTACAACTTTTTGATATTGACGTTATGAAATATGTTATACGAAATACGATTTAAAGTTCATATTTAAAATAAATAACAAGTTAGTTGCTAGGTTAAAGCCGTGGTCGAGCCATGCTGGTTAGGAATGCGATGGCCTTCAGTCGACTTAAAAAATTGTATATTTATAACTACCGACCCGTCCCGATTTCGCACGGGTGCAATGCTTATGTAAATTTACCTACTACAGAATATCCTAATACACAACGTTAACAGCTTTATTGTCATAATAAAATTAAGGTGAACAGTTCTGTAGTACATAATTTTGGTCTATTTCGTAGGGTTCCAACAAGCGTTTGCAATGTAAGCTTAAAAAAACGTAATTATTTACAATATCATATAAGAAACCTCTAAATGTATCAGTGTTTCTCTTCTATATCATGCATATATTATACATAGATAATACATACTTAAGGATCCTTATTCCAAAGCCGCATCAAAATCCGTTGCGTAGTTTTAAAGATCTAAGCATACATAGGGACAGACAGGCGGATAGCGACTTCGTTTTATACTATGTAGTGATATATACCTCTACTTAACCTATCAAGGTTTAAAAGCGTGCGTTTTTATTTAAAAGTGTGCGTTCTCTATAACGACTCTAATACAATTTTAACAAGCCATTTGCAAAACATATGTATATCTAATCAATAATCCATGATGATTATAATGGTTATACAACCATTGTTCAGTTTATTTATCAAATTGCTCTATCAAGTTAATTGAATGGCTTTGATTTGATTGTAACAATATGGACGAGGATTCTATGGAACCCATTATTTGATTTATCAATGAAAGTAATGATAGTGGCTTTTATTGGTAATAAAATTCATTTTGTTGATTTAAAGAGCATTACCTAAAACGAAGATGGCAATAGCGTTGTGTGAACAGCACACCTGTAGCCAAATGCCATTTAACACTTGTCTACTTGTAGAATAGAAAACCAAATTATATGGTATTGACGTAAATTTTGATAGTGTCATCCCCATACATTTTGATTTCTACTCTCTCTGTAGACAAGCGCTAAAGTGGCGTTTGGCTAAAGGCCTTGGTGAGGGTGACATAACTTTTCTGCCATCTAGACCTAGTTAATGATTCTCCTTCATTTACATAGGGTAGATATATGCTATTGAATTAGATAAGGTACGATGGGGTTGACATGTCCATATGGACAGAAAAATAAAAGGGAATTTGAAGAGTATAATTTGTAAAGTATTTCGGATTTGTGAAAGGATGACTGTTGATGTGATGATGTCGAGTTTGGTTTTGTGATGTTAGGTTCCGTTTTCCAAATTCTCAGTATCGGTTCTAGGGCTGAATTTTTGCACGTTAATTGGTAATAGATTCGTCCTGTTTTACATTTTTTATATAATATGAGGCAAATTAGCAATCGGCAATCGTCGCCACCAATTAACACCTGTAATATCAGAGAAGCAATAATAAATAGAATGGTGATAATTGTATGTACTTAAGGTCTATATAAAGTAATTGGTTAGGAAGTATACGCTTGGTATTTTATTAACATGTGGAGGTCTCTCCTTCTCGGGGTTGACCCGGTGAAAATAGGCACCGCGTCCCGCGTCCCGAGGGAAAAACGATTCTCATAGCCCCCTTCTAAATTTAACTTCTAAATCTCCTTCTTCCCCTTCTGCTGACTACTTGACTACTGACACTGTCTACGTGTGGTTCTGAATTGGTATTTTATGTTGGTATATATATATGTATAATATAATAATACTTAATTTTTTGTTACAGATACCAAAATACAGGGTGGTATTACTCGGCGACGCTGGCGTAGGCAAGACGGCTCTAGTGTCACAATTCATGACGTCAGAGTACATGAACACATACGACGCAAGTTTGGGTGAGCCACTTATTCTCCCGAACATCACCGACAACTCCCGAACACTCCCGAACACCTATTCTTTTACCGTTAATTTTTTTACGATTGAACTTTCCCCGTTTTATGCGGCCCTGGTACATCGTCTCACTTGATGTCATTAAAAAAACTTTTTTATCATCGAATTTTACATTTTTCCTTTTTAAAAGTACCTATTTTGCTAGCCCGAAAAAAAGAAATAATAAACAAATATTATTTTTTTTAATTTTTGGTTTTAATTTTTAGTACTACAACACTACACCGGTCCGTTTCACTTAGAAAATAATTAAAAATACATCTAAAAATATTTAAATCATAACGCTAGCATGAAACCTAGGATTTGCTTTAAAAAATCTAGCATGCGTGAATACCAAAGCATGACCAGCATCTTAGCATGAACTTTGCAAAATTCCTAGAAATTTTTAATAAAATTATTTAAGTTTAAAATACACTATCTATAGAAACGTATAGATAACTAACTGATATTTTGTTTTAGATAAAACGGACAGTAGCAAAAATAAAAATGGTTTGTACTTGATACATTTTTTTTAAATATTTACTATTTTTTTTAATTTCCATGTACTGTAATGTAGGCGTTTTATATCATTTGTCTCATAATTTTATTTATACTTTGCCAGTACAGATATTTTGAAATACTCTTTTGCGCTTTTGCGAATCTTAGAATGATTTTTACGTTATTATTCAGGTTTAACGTTCCTTCGTACATTTGATTACGCGTTTTTCGTACGTTTAGCGTACAAACAATTAAATTCTGGATTTGACATATTCAAAATCACTAGTTATTATGATGCAAATCACATTTAAATTCAGTAAGAAAGGTCGTCGTTAATTTGTCGATTGGTTTTTATAAAATAATAATAAAATTTTTATGTTTAATAAACTGCCTCTCTAATGCCAATACTGAAACGTTACTCAATTTTAAGTCGTGCTTAAATATCGTGCCATCTCTGTCATTTCACAAAGAAGTAGTAGAGACAGAACTATACTTAAGCGTGACCTAAAATTGAGTAACTTTTCAGTATTCGGGCATAAGACTAGGAATTAAAATCCATGAAAATTATGATGCAACCAATCAGTTCCCTAAATAGGTCGCAACTTATTTGTACTGTCTCTGGTATTGCACATCTACATACTTAAACTACTGAGATCGATTTTATCGTAAAGCCAATCAAACCTTTTTGAAATAAAAACCCCAGTGGTTATACTTACGAAACAAAAACCAAATAACAATCTTCAAAAGCTGAACACAATGATCTAAATTACACGGAACAGACATAGGACGTATGTATCATTACTACCGCGTGTCATTCCATCGTTATTATACATCTATGTCGCTGACAGCTGTCACACGCACGCCGCGGCCATAATGTGACATTTGTGTGTCACATCCATCTGTCATAATTTGTAGCTAATGTAACTTGATTATTGTATTAAACTGTCAAACACCAAGCGGTCACCGGTGACCGCGACCTATTGTTCTTTTATTGTGTCTATAAAACCGGTACTCGACGAGTTAATTACTACTTAGTAGCTGAGCTGACAAACATTGGTCTGCTTCAAAATCGACTTATGTATTAAAAAATTAAAATACAGTAATGATATATAATGAATCACACAAAAAAGTAATGAGTGGTTGCAGTTATAACTGTCAAGCAAGGGATTCCGGACTACCTCGTTGGCCGAGTGGTCGCAAGTGATTCAGGTTCGATTCCCGGGTAAAGTATTATTGGGATTTAAAAAAATTCTTAGTAGTAGCACGGAGTCTGGAATTGTCCCGGTATACCACAATAGGCACCACTATTTCATGGGACTCATAAAATAAATAGTATTAGAAAACTTAAAAACTGTCATAGAGTTCACCTTGCTCTTTGATATTAGTAACTTATTTGTTTTATACCACATTGGATTTTAGAAACTCAGGAGACAGGAGAAATAAAGAGTACTACCATTACAATTCACCTTATATTGTTAACATCGAAATCCAATTACAAATTCAGAACTAGCTAAACCATAACTATTAATTGGAAAGAAAAACAACAACAATAACACATGAATAGGCAAATTGACTTTCAAATAGAATAAAATTCCCTCAACACCAAATACACCGTCTCAATAATTTCCGAGTTCCCGCCATCTTGACTTTTTTATTGTTCGAACCACAGATTATATTTTCCCGCTACGCGATGACATTTCGTTCCTTTTTGTCTATGCTTCTAACACGGCCTCTCCTGACTGGAGCACGTCCTCGTGCTCCTGTGTCGCACTGTCGCATATTTACAGCACACGCTCCGTAGCAGGGACATCACCGCGGCTTCTGGCAGCTTGTTCAGCTGTGAACTCTATACTGTTTGCATCTGAGAACATAAGAATTGGATCGGGACGACGGTGGTTACCGGCGGTCACATCGATCCATTTTAAATCGTTAGCGCAGGTCACAAAAAAATAGCCAGAGAGGAGGCACAACATTAGCTATCTCGGTTAATGTGGACCACATGATAGGCATCATATTACCGTATCACATGATCCATGGAAACAACATAATCATCACTTGAGAACATAAGGATTGGGTCGGGACACCGGTTTTTTCCGAAGACACATCGACCCATATTAAATCGTTAATCTTATCAATTACCAAAAACGTGACGTGTGAGTTCAATACCTTCTGCACCTGAAATTATAAAAATTGCATCGGGATGTCGTTGGTTACCGACACAAACAACTACATGTACACATTGATCCATAATAATTCAAAATACAGGCAGAGAGAAAGCACTACGTTAGCTATCTCTACTATAACAACTACATGACAGGCACAACGTTAGCATATCATAAGTCACCAACACAGTAAAGTAATCAATAGTGAACTAGAGGCACGACGTTAGCGTAGCTCACAATCATAAAACATACTCAGAGAGGAAGCACTACGTTAGCTATCTCTGCTATAACGACTACATGACATAGGCACGACGTTAGCGTATCATGAGTCACGAACACAGGAAAAAACACAATCAATAGTGAACCATAGGCACGACGTTAGCATAGTTCACGATCATAAAACATACTCAGAGAGGAAGCACTACGTTAGCTATCTCTGCTATAACGACTACATGACATAGGCACGACGTTAGCGTATCATGAGTCACGAACACAGGAAAAAAAACACAATCAATAGTGAACCATAGGCACGACGTTAGCATAGTTCACAATCATAAAACATACTCAGAGAGGAAGCACGACGTTAGCTATCTCTGCTATAACGACTACATGACATAGGCACGGCGTTGGCATATCATGAGTCTCTAACACATGTGTAATAATTAATACCTACGTTAGCATATTATTCACACGCACATTACACACACAATACACATCAGATATCACACAATGTTAGCGTACCATATTGTGTGGGAAGGACACATTTCTACAGTCCGAAGCTATCCACATAGCACTAGAAACTCCGCCACAGTCTGTGTCGCGTTTCCACACGAGTATACCATCTATTAGCAGTCGTAACACTTAGCGCTGTAGCCTTCACCACACTACACACCACACCACACTCGATCTTGTCAGACGTTCTGTATCCGCTCGGACACACCTGACTATGACTTTTAGTCCATCCTAAATATTCTTTTGATGGAATCCTGTAATCATACACATTGATAAGGCACATACATTATCACCGAATCAGCATGATTATTGATCATCGGTAAAACTTACTTCAATTTTTTTTTTATCACGCAATCACATGTTCACATGTGAAACAAGTGAATTTATTTCTGCAAAAGACTACAAGGCAGCACTTTCACGTCAATTTTATCAAGCGAACGATGAGTTCGACATTTCCTAACTGACTACTCTGAGAAAAATGCCGAAACAAACTCAGAGTCTGTCTCTTTTAAAGTCCAGACAAATATGTATAAAAATATGTGTAAGAGAACCGTGCAAGTTCTCTCTGTAGTGGCCTTTTGAGAAAGAACCACAACAGTTTTGAGGCGGACCCGTTTTCTGAAAGCATACGCATGTGTCGGTTATCATAATTTTTAACAGATGAGGCTGAGTGATTCGACGAACAATACCAACCTAAAGAACATTTGCGTGGGTCGCACAAATACTCAAACTGTCAGAGTATGAGTAAGAAATAAGAAAAAAAAGTCTCGCACGGTCCTAGCACTAACAATTGTAAAAAATAGAGGTAAATGTCAAGTTTAAAAAAATATAAATTTTTCAAATGAAAAACAATATCACATTATGCTAATAATGTCAAATTGCATATAAAAAGAAATGTAACTATATGTGTCAATATGTAAAACGATGCCTACAAGTAAACGTTACTTATCGCCAGTCAGCTAACACAAGTAACACTAGCGGTTCAATACGTGGACATCGTTGTTGCTGACAATAAGAAGAGTTTTCATAAAATCCAGCATGAAACCTCTCAAGTAATATATCAAGGTGACAAACTCGAAATAGTACACTGAAAGCTGGGTTGTGTACATATTTGAAATTTTAAGCAAAAAACGATAACAAATTAGGCATCATCTCTCTCAGCATACAATGATGTATCCTGACGCTCTACGGAGTCTAGTCACGTTTCTAGGAGGAACAACCGATCCATACAGCAGCTTGTTCACCGTAGTAGAAAGCACTCTCGGCCTCTCAAGAGGTTACTCATGCGGTAGACAAACCAAATTAAGTCTGTATTTACAAATTTGCTAAACAAGTGCAGAACGGACATACATATTATGGATTACAGTAACTGTGAGGTGCATACTGGCAACCTACCTTCACTACAGTACAACAACCACATCAACACTCTATCAAGGGTAACGCTGCTAAGGAGAAACATAACATACTGCTGTCTTCCATTATAACAACAGTACTTCCCTGTACAACTACCTAAGATATGATTCAAGCAGTAACATGTAGCATTTTTCACAATTCTGCACAAGTTGTTAACTTGTGGT